TTGGCTGTTTTCTCCCAATGAGACTGTACCTAATGTAGGGTTCAAGGCAGAGAAAATAGACGCTACCCTTTCTGAAGGGAAAGAGACATTTTCTGAGTTGACCTGGAAGCAAAAGCAAGACCCCGGAGCCCTGCTCCCCCGACCTCAGTGATGAAGAGAGATGCTGTGACCATCTGTCCAGCTGTGTGCCTGGCCTGTGACATGGCCCTGCTTCCCCACCCTGCAGAGTCTGTGGCCTGGCCACTCGCAGGCAGGCCCACGGCCGTGAGCAGAGGCCACGGGCCTGCCGCCTCTGGGGCGGTGACTTCTCCAGTGCAGAGGATGAGAGGGTCATTTCCTAGGCAGGTTGATAAGAAGTCTAGGGGTCCCCAAGGAGAGAGGTCTGGAATACTCAAGGAGGAAGAAGGGACAAACTTTTTACTTTTTTCCTCTACAGTCTTTAGGATTATAAAACAATAATGTATCCTGCCTGAGGACAGTCTTTGGATTAAACCTTCTGGCTAATTCTGTTATCTTAAAATGTAAATTATGGGAGTAGCTCTGGTGAGGTCTTTACAACCTCCAGACATTCTTTGGAGTCATTGGAGAGTATGTGACTCCATTGCTAACACTAGCAAGAGGGTACTCTCTCTACCCCCTTCTGATATCTATGTCAGAAGCTTTCTCTATCTCCTTTATACTTTAATAAAACTTTATTACACAAAAGCTCTGAGCAATCCAGCCTCGTCTCTGGCCCCAGATTGAATTCTTCTCCTCCAGAGGCCAAGAACCCCAGTTTCTTTGCGTGATTCAGCAACAACCTTTCAAGGAGAGACCCAGGTTTGAGGAAGGAGGCTCAGCTGCATGGCTGGGGACCTAGGCCGCGTGTTTCTGACCACAGGCGCAGACGCTCCGCCTTGGGGCTTTGGAGCTAGAACAAGCCGTTCTCCCAACACTCAGCGCTCACATGGACCTGCAGGCGCTCCCGCGCCCGGCCCCCTCAGCTGCTGAGTCACCCTCCCCAGGGTTCACAGAGGCGCCGGTCCAGAGCCAGGCTGAGTCATTAGATGATGAATTGCAGAATTCTTGTTCAGGCTGTCACCGCAGCAGTGGTGGGCCCTCATCCCCACCTCCTGCCTCCCCACCAGGCCACTTAGAGCATTCTCTTATCACTTGTCATGCCTGCTCCATCTGGGGGAGGGGGTGCTCTGGCAAGGAGCACAAGACGGTGTTGGGGTGCCCAGGGCACTGCCAAGCTTCCCTTTCTGTGTCTAGATGCTGGACCGTTTGGGGATGGGTCCTGGCCTGTTAGTTCAGGGAAGAACCTCGGATCTCGTTTCGTTCAGCTCTCTCATCGATGAACGAGGAAACAGACACAGGCTTAGGATTGAGCTGCTCGAATCTGCAGCTTTGGGGTCAGAAACAAAATCTGCCTCTAGTGAGCAAACCTCCCAGGTCTCGGGTTCCGCGTCCGTTAACAGTGCTGGTGGTGACCACTCCATTCCGGCAGTCAGTGGGTGTGAAGCTCAGGGAGGCGACCCTCGGGAACTGCTGTTTGATCCCTGCATTTGATGGGGAGGACAGAGGTGGAGTGAATTAGAAGGACCAGGAGAAGAAAATGGCAACCCACTCCAGTGTTCTTGCCTGGAAAAGTCCACGGACAAGAGGAGCCTGGCGGGCTGCAGTCCACGGGGTTACATGGCTAAGCATGTGTGCCCGAGGGTGGAGGGAGATGGGTTGGTAGCAATAGTGGTAGAACTAAAAAAAAAAAAAGAAGAAGGACCGGAGATCTTCCTTCTTCCTGCTCAGGACTCAGAGGGGAGTCTCAAGGACTCCTGGAGGGACTTTGGAGAGCAGGTCAGAGCGGGTAGGTTTAGCCAGTAGGTGGATACTCCCAGCCCTGCAGGGGCCACCCTGGAGTCAGAGACGCAGCAGGTCAGGTGGAGCCCGCAAACCAGAAAACAAGCAGAGACCAGTGATGTGCACAGCCACCCTGCCCTGCGCCCTCACTCACCTCCTTCACACACAACGTCAGGGGTCCTGCTGGGCCAGATCACCTGCTGGCTCCCTCCCACAGAACGTGAGCCTGGAAGATGCAGACCTCTGCCCAGAGGGCCCCCCTGTTCTACAGACGCAGGAGTGGCCCAGGACGAGGACAGGGAACCAGATGATGACAGGGCCAATCACCCTGTGCCTGAAATGTCTCCAAGGACTCCGGGTAGCATCTTCACAGTCACAGCCGGGAGGGCCAAAGTATCTGATTCCCTTCCCTACCTGGGTGTTGATCGTTCCCCACATGCATGAACCATCTGAGAAAAGGTTCACATTTTTCAAAAGCATTTATTAAGAAAAGGGGTGGGGTGGGAAAAAGGTATAAAGTAACACAAAGGAATGAAAGCGTTTACAACATAGCTTCTTCAGGCCAGTGGCAACTAAGAAATATTTGCTGGGCCGACATCAAGGGTATGGAGGCCCCAATTCCATTTTCAATCCCATTCTCTTGGCTGCTAACCCAACCAGCTCAAAACACCCTCCGAAGAGAAGTCAGATTGCCTTCCAAAACCTCCCCAAACTACTTCCCAGTTGCCTTTACGGCCCTTCTCTGCCCGGCCCGATTCCTTCCCTAGGCTTCGGGTGAGGTCAGCCAGACCCTGCTGAGCACTCTCCACTCTTCTAGTCACTGTGTGGTCCCTTCATCTATTTCTGTTCCCATCCGGATTCATTCAACTACATTCATGAACCAGTTGGGCTGGCTTGATCTACTGCCTTGGGTCAAGTTGCCTGTTTTTCTAAGCCTACATCTGAACTTGCTCTTTCTCCTGTTGGGAACAACTTCTTGAGCAGTGTCTCTGGCAGCTCCCTGCCCCCATCAGTCCAAGGCTACTGTCTCCCCCGGACAGAACTCTGCACCCCCGTCCAACCGCCCACTTAACTTCCAGGTGGTTCCAGTTCTCAGCTAACCCGTCTAGGTGGTGGTTTAGTCACTAAGTTGTGTCTTGACTCTTGAGGCCTCATGGACTGTAGCCCACCAGGCTCCTCTGTCCGTGGGATTCTCCGGGCAAGAATACTGGAGTGGGTTGCCGTTGCCTTCTCCAGGGGAATCTTCCTGACCCAGGAAGCGAACTCTTCACCGCTGAGCCACCAAGGAAGCTCGGGAGAGATGATCAAAATACCTTGATACTGGCACACACTTATCACACCCTGCCCAGCTCTGGTCACCAACCTCATCAACTTCCTTGGAAGACTTCTGACTTCTCTCTTGGACATCGGCCCCACTGGAATATTATCTCTGTAGAATATTCTATGAATGGCTTTATAGATACAGTAATAATAAGACTATGGCAAAAGGAGAGCAACTCCCTCCCAAATTGTTATCTTCTCTAACTTACAAAAGCAAAACAAAACAAAACTGGGCTACTCTTGCCATTTCTTCTACATGTCAGTATACAGGTTAGTATAGCCGGATTCTCAGCTGGCTTTTAGGAGCAGAACTGAGCCTCAGCAAGCTGGCCATTGGTCTCTTCTGCACCTGTGGTAGTTGTTGAGACTTAGCAAATGGCTTCTTCAAATAAACGCTGGAAAGCAGAACTGAAGAGTCTCCTCCAACAGAGAAGCAGATAACAGCTCTACCCAGACATTCTCGAGCCTTTCCTTCACATTACATGCATACCACATCCCCTTTCAGGCTTACCCTGACAGAAAAGCATTAACTCAGTACTATGAATACAAGTTGGCTAAAATTTTTTCTAACAAGACCTCCAGTTTGAGCTTTAGGGTGTAGAAAATTCTCCATGCCGCTCAGCCAGTCCTCACGACAACCGTGTGAGGTGGGCATGGTGGATGTTATGATGGGTATTTTACTGATGTAGAAACAGGTCCAGAGAGGTTAGGGAGCTCGACCAATATCACACAGTTGTTTAGTTGGAAGAAGGTGAAAGTGAAAGTCGCTCAGTCGTATCTCTTTGCGACCCCATGGGCTACACAGGCCATGGAATTCTCTAGGCCACAATACTGGAGTGGGTAGCCTTTCCCTTCTCCAGGGGAATCTTCCCAACCCAGGGATTGAACCCAGGTCTTCCGCATTGCGGGCGGATTCTTTACCAGCTGAGCCACAAGGGAAGCCAGCATTCAACCCAGATCTCCGCTGCCTCACTCATTTTCCTTTTGCAGGCACAAAAATACGAATGAGGTTCCCTTCTCCCTTTTTCTCCACCTAAATGGCATCCTCCTTTTGTACACAATCTGGGAAGTCCCAAACAGGAAAAGGAATGATGGATCAAGCTAACTGTCACAGTCTAATGCGGGGGTGGGATGTGGGGATGTCATATCTTTCATGATGTTCCTGATTTCTTAACATCTGTAGTTGAAACAAAGAACTCTTTCTCCCGGTGCTGGGTGGTGCTTTCGGCATCAGGATTTGTTAGGATTCCCAGGTCACAGTTGGGAGGCTGGGAATTTTCCTTCCAAAATGATGCTCAATGCTATACTTCCCATCCATTTCACATTTCCCCACTGCTGTGTGCCTTCCCACCTCGATCGAGCCCCTCACCAGGAAAACACAGTACTTCTGTCAATCGCCCCAAGCCTAGCTTCCCAGGGCTCTCATGGTGTCCCCCACAACTGCTTCATCTTCAGAACCTCTGTGGGATTCTCTTCCTGTGTCCAGGTGGTATTTCCCCTCTGAAGTTCTCTATTCCCACCTCCTGGCTGGAGCCATTCCACCAGCCCAGCTCTCTGCACATGGTTCCCATGCAGCTCTGCAAAACTGCTGTTCTAACCTGAAGGTATTTATCCCTTAGAGGCCAGAACGCCCCAGGACATATAAACAGGACACCCCGATTTCATCTCTTTTGTGACTCAGAGCTGAGTCACACTCCTGGAGGCTTAGGATAGGCTGAGTCCACAGTGCCCCCTACTGGAGATTTCCCACAAGCCAAGGTTTTGAACACCTTAGTGGGTCCCACTGTTTACTAGACACGAATTCACTCCACAGATGTTTACTGAGCACCTACTAGGAGCTGTCACTGTGCTGACTCTGTAGAGAGGGATGTAAAGAAGGCAGACACAGTCTCCCCACTCGTGCAACTCATCCTATACCACCGGGTTCCGTAGAACCACAACTCGGTTTCCAGTTGGTCTAAATGAGTTGGTGAACTCAATAAGACCGTCTCTTGCCTCTGGACACTCCATAATGACATATCATCCATGGGGACCACTTGACCACTGCAAACCTTCCCAGGGAAGATTCCATGGTCAGTCACCAAACAGACCCCTGATCTGCTGGCCTTTCCTCCCTGCTGGGTCCAGACCCACTGGGATTCTCCCCTTCGCTCCTGCCTTACCCCTACCCCCACCAGAACAGTCTCCTTTATTCTGACATTCATTTGCAAATCCAGGAGTTTTATAGAGGTGTACTTTTCTGCAGCAAGTAGTTAAGCATATATGTTATTTAATGGACAACAGTAACTGAAGTAGAAATGTGCATATATGAATAACAGCATGAAATAACTCAAAAAGAACCCAACCTCCCCTGTCACTATTTACACATTCTGCACCTGTTTACACGCAGTAAACTATTCAGACATGCTTTTACCTTGTTGCTATAATGATGTGATCAGAAATCCAAAAGCTTTTTTTTTTTTGCTTATGATTGCATCACAGAACATCATACTCGCCTAAATAGTTCTCATAGTTGTCATACATGAAGGCAGTAACTCATTGCCCTGCTAGACCACAATCAACTTGGCTATTCCTTCCAGAACTGAGCTGTTTCCTGTCAATGACTATTATATACAGCGTGGTCACAAATACCTATCTGCAAATTCTTTTCCTTTTTCACTTCTTTTCCCAGAATGTATTCCCCAATGTGAAGTAACTTCATCTTACAATCATTTCTTTGACTCCTGTCAAGTCCTGCCAAACCGATCTCCAGGAAGCAGCATTTATCATGCCAGGAGCCTATTTCCCCATGATATAGCTTCAAAATATTTTTTTGATGGATGCAAATGGTTGATTTTATTTTTCATTTTATGTGTCCTGGCCTGTGTGGATTCCCTTCCGGGGACCCAACTTATTTGGTCCTTTGACCAAGTAGATCTCTTTCAGTCACTGTAAACCCTAGAGACTCAGCTCTCAGATCAACGCTCTGTAATTTCCTCCCCTCATCGATTTTTCCTTTAATCGTCATTATTATTTGCTGTGCATACATCTCAAAATTTTATAATTGAATCCATACACTTGACATTGATTATTTACCCCTTCACTTCACGAAACAAATCAATGCTCTCCCTAGAAAAATATTTTCTTTTCCCTCCACCTAATGTCCTGTACTTTCCATCTGGACTTGTCCAAAATCTCTCTGGTTCCCATGACCACTCATGGTCCATGATCCTTACATTAAGATTCCCTTTGGTCATCTCTCAACAGCCCCTGGCTAACCATGGCCACCTCCATTCCACCACTGCCACGGCCCATGCAAAGGGCCTGTGGTCACGGCTCACTTCTGACACGATCCCTCCATGCGATTTCCACTCCTCCACCCATCTCAGCACCACTGCTGACTTCTCAGGTCTTCCAACTGGTTTGGCCCCTGAGTTCCACACCTGGCCTCTAGGATTAGGTGTGTCCCCCACCCATAATAGCAATACAAACAAATGCCTTTAACACTTTAGTTCAGCCAGAATTTCTCAAAAGGAATTGTGCTGGAAAACTAAGAAGGGGCTAAAAACAAACTCCAGCAAGTATTAAGACATCAAAACAGAAGAGACTTTATATTCTACAGAGGTGTGACCTCAGGATGGCTTGGAGGTGAGGATTGGGGTAAGCCCCAGGGTGTCCCCTTCTCTCACACTAGGAACCCTGTGTTTTAAACTCCAGTCCTACCAGGTTCTGTTTTCTAACAGCACATTCTCTTCACGGGCTTTAAGGTAAACATCCTTTGCCCTGGGGTAGTGTCTATACTTGGTCCCCCATGAAGCCCACCTCGTTCTTCACTGGGGGATGCCACTATTGGGAGAGGAGCCTCAATTTCCCGGCTGTGGCTGAAGGCAATGAATGACCTCAGCTCTTCCATGTCTGTGGTGAAAGATGTCATTGACTGCCGGGTTCAAAATCTCAGGCCCCTGCTAACCTAGCCTGTCCCCTTTCAGTTGAAGAACGGGTTCTCAGCTCTCTTCGGCAAAGTACATAACCGACATACCTTGAGCCCTTCTTGGCTCCAAGGACAATCTCTACCCACCTCCCCAAGCCTCTCCCTGGGCCACCCCATCAGGAATGGTTTTGAAGAAGAACGCAAATCAGAACTAGTTTACATATCTTGGAAACCTAGACTCTATACTAGCGGCAGTGGCAGTCACTCCCCCCAATTTAAAAGCAAGAGGCGTTAATGCCCAATACCTCTCCAACCCCTCCTCTCCTGCATCTGAGAATTATGGTCATGCCAACCCTGCTTGGTCCCCATCCCTGCATCTGCAGACGGGTTTGGCACTTCACATTGTGAAAAGCTGTCAACCACTGCCCTCTGAGAAAATGCCCTTGGCCGCCACATGTCCTGGGCAGCCCTGCCTGCCTTCCCCCCCTCATTTCCTTCCCCCCACCACCCAGTCCCTCCCCGGTCCCAGCCCTTTAACTGTCAAGAGGGCGGACCCGAAAGACATGGATGGTCCCGTTACTGAGGGACACGACCAGGTACCTGCCGTCCACCATGGTGGTCACCCGGGGCTTTTCCAGGCCGTGATAGGCCGTCAGGAAGTCGCCAAGCAGCGCGCCCTTCGGATCGAGGATCACTACCTTGTTGACCTCGCGAAGGGTCAGAAAGATGTAGCCTTTCTTATCCACGGATACGGAGCCCGGCTGGCAGCCGTGCAGGCCAGGTCCCCGGTACTCCCCAACCACCTGACCCAGCCCATCACAGACCACCAAGCTATTCTGCTGCCAATCAGACCCTACAAAATGGCCCTGGGGGCTGGTGGTCAGGAACACCAGCGCCCGCAGGCCCCGGTTGGCCTTGCCCCCAGGGATGAACCGTGTGGCCAGGCTGCCTTCCATGTTGTACACCTCCACGTGGCCGGACACGCTGACCGCTACCCGGTCCCCGCTCGGCATGGCGGCCACGGCGTGGCTGGCCTGGCAGAGGCTCAGCGCCCGGCGCCACTGCACCTCGCCGTTGTGGTTGATGAGATAGAGCCGCGCGGCCGCTGAGAAGGCCACGGCGTCCTGCAGGGCGGCCACGCTGCATGGGGAGCAGCCCTCGGGCACGGGCACCGCGCCCCTGTAGTCGCCATTGAGAGAGAAGCGCTTCAGGGCCCTGTTCTGCTCATCGGCCACCAGGATCTCCCGGGAGCCAAAGGGACAGAGCCCAGTGATCCGGGGGGCGCGCTTGTCCCCCGGCATCCGCGTGGGGAAGCTGCAGAAAAAGATGGGCCTGGGCAGGAGGCCGGAGCCCTCCAGGTTTGGCCCGGGGGCGGGGCTGGGCTCCCGGGAGACGGACTTGAGTCTGCCTTTGAACTTCCTCTTCTTGTTGGATCTGCCGCCCCTTGCGGCCTGGGTTCCTCCATCTTCTTGGGGTGTCTGGGGTCTGCCCTCTTTGGGGGTCTTGGCTCCATCTTCCTGGGGCGTCTCAGCTCTCTCCGCCTTGAGGGGCTGGGCTTCATCTTCTTGGGGTGTCTGCGCTCTGTCCTGATTTGGGGTCTGCACTCCATCCCTGCTCTGGGGCTGGGCTGCGTCACCTCCCGGGCTTCGGGCTCCATCCTTCCTGCTGTCCTTCAGCAGCTGCTGCTCCTCAAAGGAGAGCCTCAGCAGGTGGCAGTTCTTGTCCAGGAGCCCGGGATGCAGTTCCAGCTGGGGCAGCTGGCAGGGAGCGGGCCCAGGCACCCAGGGACAGCCCTGCAGCTGCCGGAGCCGCTGGGCGATCGCCCCCTCCAGAGAGAGGATCTCAGCCTCGCGCCCCAGGCTGAGCACCCGACGGGCAAACGCAGCCGCCTCCCTGGCCACCTGCTCCCGGCCCTCCAGCTCCCCCAGCCGCTCCCGAGCAGCCTCCTCGGCAGCCTCTACGTGGGCCCGCAGCTGCCCAAGCACCTCCTGCTTCTGGGCCAGGAGGGCCCTGAGGACCCCCTCGGCCGCCTCCTCCACCTGCATGACTACCTTGGCCGCCTGCTCCCGCAGCCGGGCCAAGGCTTCCTTTTCGGCCAGCCGGGTGGCCTCCAGCTCGGCCAGGTTGCTGTCCACGCCAGCCAGCAGCTCCTCGAGGCCTGGCCTCCGGGCGCGCACAGCCTCAGCCAGGGGCAGGCAGGGGTGGTCCAGGTGAGGGTCCAGGCGACACTCTCGGCACAGCAGCTGGGAACACGGCTGGCACAGGAAGCGCAGGGCCTCCCCGGGGTGCTGGGGGCACTGGGCCGCCTGGCGCTCCCGGGCCTCCTCGTCGTACCACCCCGCCCTGTAACCCACCAGGTCCACCACCCGGTGGCTGTGGGTCTGCCGGGTGCACCGGTGCCCGTCGGCACAGGCCTGGCACAGGTCGTCGGCACAGTCCAGGCAGCGGGCAGTGGCTGGCCCCCCGGCGCTGGCGCCCCCCATCAGGGGGCACAGGGCACAGGCCGGCTTCCCTGCCCGCAGGTCGCCGCCGGCCCGGGCCTTCACCAAATCCAGGAGTCCGTTGACAAAGAAGTTGGTCTTGAAGGCGGCCACGCCCGCGGGCGGCACGGGCACAGACTCACGGCACTCGGGGCATCGGAGGTGGCCGCCCTCGGCCAGCTGTGCCAGGCAGTCCTGGCAGTAGGTGTGCAGGCAGGGCAGCGTTTTGGGCACCCGCAGTTGTTCCAGGCAGATTTTACAGGCCAGGAAGTCGCTGCTCAGGGCCTCCAGGAGGGAGGGTGAGGAGCCCTGGGAAACCATTCTGCAAGCAAGAGGTCGAGGTCAGAGGTCAGAGGTCACTTCTGAAGTGGCCACCCTCTGCCCTCCCACCTCTCCCCCATACTCAAGAGCCCCACCAGGTCTGGGGTCTAACCTGAATGGCCGGGAATTTTCTTGCCGTCTCTGGAGCTAAAGAACTGCCTCCCTCCGCCGTACAGACATTCAGAAATGCGAAAAAGTAAAGGCTGCCTTGGCACGTGTCAGGCCCTGTGAGATCTGAAGAGACCAAAAGGCTGGGCCTTAGAGAGCCCATGGGGTAATGATGGGTGCCCCTCCCTGCCCGCCCCGCTGTTGACAGGCCTTGTGGCACATGGGGTGAGAGTCTGGTGTGAACAGGCCCTGGGCACCCTGCTGGGTGAGAGCTGCCGGGCTGGGGTGGGGGGGCAGGGAGGACACAGCTGAGGGTCCAGGTGGGCAGAGTCCCCTTGATTCCTGGCAGGTGGGGCGGAACAACAGGCTTCAACTGCTGGGGCCCCAAGTCCCAGGGTCGGGTACACCTGCATCCTGGAACCACTCTCTCCCCACCCCACCTCCCCGCAGCAGCAGCACCATCACAGGAACTGGGGGCCCCCCCACTTCCTGCCCCGACTGCCCGGCAATGGGCTCTGGAGAAGTCAGAGGGGAGGCCGAGGGGAAGGGGCTGCCAGGCTCTTTCCTTCCAGCTTCTCGGACTCTGGGTCCGAGCCCCGGCTCCCCCAGCCCTTTTCTCTCCGCCCGTCTTGCTGCTGGAGGCCTCCTCCTTTCCGAGGAGCCTCTGGAGGGTCGGAGTCACGTGAGGCTCCGTCTGTGAATGCCCCCAGCATCCGGCACAGTGGCCAGTGAAATACTTGATAAAGAAACTTGGGGCGTTTTCCCCAAACTTCCAGAAAGTAGGGGCCGGGGGAGGGTGGTGGGCAGCGCTGAGAGAGTGGGAAGGGGGGGGTCTTCCCAAGGAGACCTCAGCTCTCTGGCCCCGAAGAGAGGAGCCTCCCCTCGGCTCCCGCCCTCTGGGTCTCCGTCCCCCTCCCCTCCCTTCCTCTTCCTCCGGCCGGCTCCCTTCCCCCACCCCCTCCAGTCCACCCCTCCCTCCAGCCGCCCCCCAAGCCCCCTCCTTACCTAGCTTGGACTCCAGGACCCAGAGCTGGGGGACCCCCCCCCGCCCCGCCCCTCGGAGGCCCTGATGCGGCTGTTGCCGGGCTCCTGAAAGAGAAACAAAACTGAAACTAATTGTACTTCTGCAACTTCCGTCCCAGGCCCGGGACACGGACTAGAACGGCCGCAGGCCCCGCCCTCTTCCCTCCCCAGCCTGGACCTCTTCCTCGGGGGGGCCTTCCCCCACCGGCGGGGCGCAGTCCCCGCCCGCAGGCTCCCGGGCTTCGTGGGGGCCGGGTCAGCTTTCGCGGCTGGAGTCTCCGAGGTCGGCCTGTCCGTTTGAGCCTGGGGATTTGCTCAGCCTGCTAAGTGTGTCTGTCGCAAGGGCACGGCAGCTGCCTGAGGATACCCTCCGAGGAAAGAAATGAGAGATCTTAGGTGATTCTCGGAGACGCAGGGTAACCAGAGCCCCGGCCTCAGGCCAGGCTTCCAGGGCTGCCGCAAATTTGCAAATCCAGCCCTAGGTGAGACCCTTCTACCACAATTCTTTTCTGAGATTCGGGAGGGAGCTCGAAATGAGGAATGGGCGAGGGCTCCCTGGAGGAGGTGTCCCTTGAGATGAGTCAGAAGAGTGCACAGGGACTGGGGATCACCAGAGAAGAATGCAGGGAAGGGCATTCCAGGAATTGGGAACAGCGGGTTCGTGGACCCAGAGGAATGAGACACCACATACTCTGCTGGGGTTCCCAAGTAATTCAGCATGGTTTGTGGGAGAACTTATAGTTGCCAGGCAGAAGGATGCGGGAAGAGATAGGGAGTTTGGACGGACATGTATACACTGCCATGTATATATAACCAACAAGGTCCTACTGTATAGCATAGGGCGCTCAATGTTATGTGGCAGCCTGGATTGGAGGGGAGTTTAGGGAAGATTAGATACATGTATATGGGCTTCCCAGGTGGAGCGGTGGTAAAGAATCCACCTGCCAATGCTGAAGATGCAGGAGATGCAGGTTCTATCTTCCAGGGAAGATCATCTGGAGTAGGAAATGGCAACCCACTCCAGTACTCTTGCTTGGAGAATCCCGTGGACAGAGGAGCCTGGCGGGTTGCAATCCATGGGGTCACAAAGAATCGGACATGTCTGAGCACTCATGCACAGATACGAGCATATTTATGGCTGAGTCCCTTTGTCCACCTGTTATCACAATGTTGTGATAACACAACATTGCTAATCGGCTGTACCCCAATACAAAATTTAAAAAGTTAAAAAATAAAAAAGGAACGATGTGTGGGAAAGGAACGTGTCGGTAGTAGCAGATGATGTCACCAAGGAAGCAGTGGCTGGATCACAGAGTCTTATGGTCTATGTGACAGAGTCTGAGATTTATCCCCAAAGCCAAAATAAGCCACTGAAGGATATTTCCCCCAACACCTTCTGGAAATTGTGAAGCACAAAGGAGTTGAAAGAATTTCAACAAACACCCCCATGTCTATCCCCTAGTTTCTGCAGTTAACACCTTGCCGTAGTTGATTCATCACACAGCTACCCAAGTAGGCATCCATTTATTCTCAGGGACGGGATTTCAGGAAGAAACACAACCAGTGAGAACTCACTCTGGCATCAGCCAAGAGAACAGAGGGGAGCTTGTCTTCCAGGTGGAAAGCGGAGGGATCTGAGCTGACACAGCGCCACTAGGGGCGGGGGGAGCCTCAGGTGTGAGCAAGCTGGTGCAGGTGACAACAGCTGGGGTCTTGTAATTGGCTCTGCACTGGAGATGACAGAAGGAGAGTAGGAAGTCCTTTGGGTTTTGCAGGCCCGGAGGTCAGCACAGAGAGCTCGGCAGGTGATAACCCAGGCTTGTGACTTTTCCGGACTTTTCCAGTGAATCCCTGGTTTTGATGAAGTTCGCCCAACAGAGTCCAAAGTGAGAAGAGCAGGGCTGAGATGCACTAGGAAAACATGTTCAAGGGCAAGTGGGGGAAGGGCCTGGGGCAAGAAGAGGCTGAGGGGTACTTCCAGAGACGGAGGTGGAAATCCAAGAGAGGGAAGGTCCTATGAGCCTTGGCTGCAGGATGGGGCACCTCCAGAAGGGGGAGGCGGTCATCACGGCTGAATGCTGCAGACTGGACAGTCAGCCATGATGAGCACAGAAAAACATGCTGGCCACGTGTGTCCCCAAGTGTGTGTACACACCTGCACATGCGTACAGACCCCGTGTGTGCTTGTCTGTGCGCAGTCAAGGAAGATCTTCTGGATGGCTACCTAGTGGCTCAGTGGTAAAGAATCCGCCTGCCAATGTAGGAGACGTGGGTTCGATCCCTGGGTCTAGAAGATCCCCCGGAGGAGAGCTTGGCAACCCACTCCAGTATTTTTGCCTGGGAAACCCCATGGGCAGAGGAGCCTGGTGGGCTACAGTTCATGGGGCTGCAGAAGAGTCAGACATAACAGCAACTAAACAGCAGCAGCTGCTAGACAGCATGCCATATATATGTGCAATATACGAAGATCAGCAAGATAGTTTCCCCACCCATGGGCAGTTTATAATCGCTGGTGGTCCAGTGGTTAGGACTCTGTGCTTCCACTGCAGGGGGCACGGGTCCGATCTTTGGTTGGGGAATTAAGATACCCCTGGACTGGGTTGCCGTTTCCTTCTCCAGGGGATCTTCCCGACCCAGGGATCAAACTCACATATCCTTCATTGGCAGGTGAGTTCTTTACCCCTAAGGCACCAAACGTAACCTGATTTAATCCTCACAGTAACCTCATAAGGTAGGTAGCATTCTTGCCCCCATTTTACAGATAAGGAAACTGAATAATAGAATAAGTCACCCAAGGTCACACAAAATGCTGTGGCAACACAGAGGGAAAGTTTGATTTCTCCTGGAATGGCGGAGGTGGTGGTGGTTGTGTGGTCAGCCACCATCAGGAAGTCTTCGTGAAAGAAGCAGCATTATAATCACCACCCTTCCCTCACCCCAAACATTGAACAATTGTTTAAAGTGCCTACAGTGTGCAGCAGACCCCAGGAAATTGGTTTCTTCTGCTTGAAATCAGGCATCCAAATCAAGGGATAACTCAGCTTACAACCGAGTGGTTAAGTGTTACCATGGAGACCTGGCGAGAAGGAGGAGTTCCTTCCAGATGCTGGGGGTTCCTCAAGAAGCCTCTGCTGCTGGCTGTTCTGATAAGATGGGAGTCGCAGGTGGGTGGAGGGATGTGGCAGGAGATGGGAGCATGCAGGCAGAACAAACTTCACAATTTCTTGTTGACAATCCTGAAAGAACTTAAGGTAATGGAGAGCCATTATAGAATTTTTATTAGGCAAATTTGGACTTTGTTCTGCAGGCACTTGGGGGCGAGATTAAAAGCAATGGTTTTTTATCTTAATTTATATAAATATTCATAATTTAAAATAAAATTTAAAAGACTCATATCATCATTATAACAAAATAACTTTTTTTTTCCTATGTGTATTTCCTCTGGTCTCTGTCCATGTAAGTATATTTTACATAACTGTATACATATATTTATACATATTTGACATAGCTGTATTTATAGTGTACATGTATTTTTGTCTACTTGTCAATCACAATACACATGCATCTTAGGGTTGGGAAATTCTCCTGAAGTATTTTGTTGATTCTCTCCCCTCTGCTTTCTCCGTTTTCCCATCTGGAACTTCCATCATTCAGATGTTGCATCTCCCAGATGGTCTTCTAATTTTATATTTAATCTTATTTTTTTTCTTTCTTCTTCTTTTTTTTTTTTTACTACTTTATGGGAGGTTTTCTCTAACTTAAACTTTCAGTCCTTGTGCTTTTTCAAATCTGCTGCCACAATGCTAATTCATGAGTTCCTTTTATCGTTTATGTCTCTGAGGATGTAAATGATAGTATTGTTATTGTCA